GCGTACTAGCGTTGACTCGGTAGCATTCTGCCGTCGAATCGCGTGGATACCAAATTCCAGCAAGGAAGGAATTCGCTTGAATCAATTTGAATATATTCAGGTACAAACAGAGAAGGAATATATAGTTCTAGCTAGCAAGGACCTTGGGAATCAACCTGGGAACAACCAGGGATGATCCCAAATAATTCCAAGCAACAGAACCAACCTGGCTGGACAAAACAGCAGGTGGTAGGTTGGTAAACAACCTCTGGTTCTGTTTTTCCAACCTGGGAAAACAACAACCAGGTTCAGGTCCTAAAAACAGAACCTGTTTTGTCTTTGTCCAACCAGCCAAATGCTGGTTCCGCTGGTTTCCCCTGGCCCTGTAGCATGCAGATACAAACAAACAACATCCAACCTTCACCTAAATTGTACCCCTATAGTGCCTGCCCTGCTACACTATAGTCAACCAAACAAAACAGTACAATTTTGAGTTGGATAGAACTGCATCTGCGCAATCAATTCAACCGAACTGCAAAGCTTCCATCTTGGGTTCCTTTGCGAGCTCGTCCTTTCTGGTTGCACTGTTCGTAGCGCGTACAATGTTGTGCCGAAGCGCACATTGCACGAGTACCTGCAAATGCATCAAGCGAAAATTGCGAAAACAAACAAACACACGAACATTCCATTCACACCCAAATGCATTCGCACACGCATACTCGTACAAACAGACGGCAGGATGTCGTGCAATGTGAATTTGCACCCAACACTCCGCTTGCTTTTCCACGAATGGCAGCCAATCTTCCTTTATCGTAGGGGCGGCGTGGTCCTTTTGCTTCAGCGGATACGCCCACATGAGTCTGCTCCAATCATCCACAATGGTTAGGAAATACCGCTCCCCCTTGTGCCCTTGCACCGGCAGCGGCCCCACCAAGTCCATGTGAACCAGCTCCAAAGGCTTCTTGCTCCTGCCAGTCACGCTATGAAAAGGGAAACGAGTGAATTTTGAGAGCAAACAGATTTCACAGTTGTCATCGGGTGGCTGTCCGTTCAACTTCAAACCCTTGACGCCTCCATCTTTCTCTAGCTGCTTCAACAAGGGCATTGCCACATGCCCCAAGCGTCGGTGTGCCGTTGCCCAATCTGTCTCCCCAGATCTGGCCGACACTTTCACACCAACCCCTCCAACGGCGTTGCACTCCCCCTGGGATGCAGACCCCTCTCCAGCCTGCCCCCCACTGTGCCACGCCAACGCCGGCAGCTGCCACATGGATCTGTACACATCCTTGCTCTCGTGCAGACACTCGAGCACCCGATTTCCCAGCTGCCCCTTGTACGTGCGTGCCCCATCCGTGCTAGTGCTCACCCCAGCCTTGGCAAGCTTACGGAGGGAGATGAGGTTGGCCTTGAGATCAGGAACGACGAGTACGTCGTGCAGCACCACCGGTTTGCCATCTGCTCCCTTGAATGCAGCTCGTCCCGCACCAGCCACCTTCAGCGCGTGTCCAGAGGCAGAGCACACCTCATTGATCGGTGCAGCTCGTACGTCATCAAGCAGCCCTTGCGCAGCGTCATCGTCCAAGCAGCGCCCGTGTCCAACACCCAATAGTCCAGGGGATGCAGCTCTGCTCCAACCTTGGCAGAGGCGTCTCCTTGCTCCCCCTGCTCTCCTTCTTCTTCTCTGCACCGCCGTTGCTCTTCGGGTTGTTGTCGGACGAATCGGCGACCATGTTCGCGCCGTTTTTCTGGTTCCTCCGCGCGCCGCCATCCTGGTGACGATTCTGGGGGGTCCATCCATCGGGTTTCTTATAGCACAAAAACCAGGGGTGCCCCTCCTTCTCACAATACCAGCAACTCCCTTTCATTTTGCCACCAGCACCCGACTTGCCCCCACGTCCAGATTTCGCACCGCGACCCCAACCGGTACCTCCTTGTTGGTCGTTAGAGTCGTCGTCCTTCTTTGCACCGCGTCCAGCACCACCAAAGCCACGTCCTCTGCCACGTCGGCTCCCTTGCATCCCGTAGCCGCTGCTGCCGTCGTCTCCACCCCTCAGTTGGCGGCGACGGAAGTCCTCCTCCAGAATCTTCGTCCGCACCCACTCGAGCGTCCACAAGCTCTGGTTCTGCGGCAGGCTCAATCCGCTCGTGAATTGAAGCCACGATTCCGACAGCAGCGATAGCATCTTCAAGCACTTGGTCTGCTCCGGGTAGGTGATTCCCGCGGTCGCCAACTTCGCGTAGAGGTCGCGCATTTTGTCCAAAACAGGTTGCACCGGCTCTCCCTCGCTCAAGCGCAAAGCGGACAGCTCCCTCTCCAGCATCAACGTTGCGACAACGGAGGTCGGGGCGTGCAGCTCCTTCAACACGGTCCACGCCTTCGGACCGCAATGAACCTCCGGCAGCAGGTGCATGACGTGGTGACGCTGGTTCAGCTCCAAACTCTGCGACATCAAGTAGTAGCCAGCCGAGGCGCGCTCGTCCCAATCTTCCTGCAGCGCGGGGTCACTCGGTCTAGGCTCCTCCCCAATCATTAGTTTCAACAAACCGATCTGACGGAAATAAAGTTGCATTTTCCATGCCCAATCATCATAGCCCTCACCATTGAACTTCTCGACGGTGAAGTTCTTCAGCACCTCCTTGATCAGCGAGCCCTGGTTTGTTCGCGCTCCCCTTGGCACCGAAACACCAGAATCCTGGCTGCCGCTACGATCTTGGGCTGAAGATTCACCAGCTCCCGCCGAGGTATTTCCCGCCATAGCTACCTATAACGAGGATCACTAGCTTGTTGCCAGCTTGTTGGTGTAAGGGCCTAATAAACTCAGGCTATTAAGACGTTATCCAACTTAAAACCTCTCCTCGGGGTCACCTCCAAGGGTCCCTGGGTGCTTGGTACAAGACCAGCCCCTATCCTCGGGTTCGAGTTTGTAGAGAGAGGGATCAAGAGGGACTTAGTCAAAACAGCAAGAGTACCTTGAACATTGCGCAGCGTGCCGTGCAGACCGTCGATCGGATTAAGCTGAGAAGTCGTTATATCGAAGCTCACTCTAAGAGCTTTCAAAAGAGCCAAGTTGCCTCGCGAAAAGTTCTGCCATTGTAGAGTTACGGCTCGGACAGCGTTTGCCTAGCGTTGTAGTGCTAGCGTACTAGCGTTGACTCGGTAGCATTCTGCCGTCGAATCGCGTGGATACGAAATTCCAGCAAGAAAGGAATTCGCTTGAATCAATTTGAATATATATTCAGGTACAAAAAGAGAAGGAATATATAGTTCTAGCTAGCAAGAACCTTGGGAATCAACCTGGGAACAACCAGGGATGATCCCAAATAATTCCAAGCAACAGAACCAACCTGGCTGGACAAAACAGCAGGTGGTAGGTTGGTAAACAACCTCTGGTTCTGTTTTTCCAACCTGGGAAAACAACAACCAGGTTCAGGTCCTAAAAATAGAACCTGTTTTGTCTTTGCCCAACCAGCCAAATGCTGGTTCCGCTGGTTTCCCCTGGCCCTGTAGCATGCAGATACAGACAAACAACATCCAACCTTCACCTAAATTGTACCCCTATAGTGCCTGCCCTGCTACACTATAGTCAACCAAACAAAACAGTACAAGTTCGAGTTGGATAGAACTGAATCTGCGCACTCAATTAAACCGAACTGCAAAGCTTCCATCTTGGGTTCCTTTGCGAGCTCGTCCTTTCTGCTTGCACTGTTCATAGCGCGTACAATGTTGTGCCGAAGCGCACATTGCGCGGGTACCTGAAAATGCATCAAGCGAAAATTGCGAAAACAAACAAACGCACGAACATTCCATTCACACCCAAATGCATTCGCACACGCATACTCGTACAAACAGACGGCAGGATGTCGTGCAATGTGAATTTGCACCCAACACCCGGGGGTGCTGAGCCTGGGGGTGTGGAGCCTGGGGGTGCTGAGCCTGAGGGTGTGGAGCCTGGGGGTGCGGAGTGTGAGGGCGCGGAGTCTGGGGGTGCTGAGTCTTGGGGTGCTGCTTCGTCCTTGTTCATTATTCTGGCAGAAGGGTCTGGAAATTACCGTCCACAAGGGCCTATACTAAGAGAAGTGTTACACTACATATTGTAACATAACTATTCTTATTATCTTGAAGTTAACTCTTTTGGAGAGCTTCGAAACCACTTCAATCTTGAAACCATGGCTCTGGTTCTTCAAGATAAATTCTTCGTTGAGTTCTTGGAAGTCTGCTGCGCACACCTGCGACAGGCTGGACGTTCCACACATGAGAAAATAGAAAACCGCACACGACACGCAAACGACGACGTGAGACGCGACTAGCGATAACTCGCTATTGACTCGACACACACATTCAAAATCATGCCTCATCATTCACACACTATTATAAGCATGAAATATATATTATCTCATGCCCTCATACCATTCCATGTACACACGCATGCACGCATACGGACAAGAAGCGGAATGCAAACCGTAGGGTTGCACCAACTGTCAGCTCCAAGGGGATTTCCGGGGGCTGGGCGATCCGTGGTCTCGGTAGTGGCGGTTCGATTTCGCCAAGCGCGGTTTGATCTCGTGGACGATGGTAAGGTTGGAATTACGCCCGTTCGATCAGCATCGGACGGTCCTCCGACTGCTTCAGGTCTTTGCAAGGCTAGCTGTCCTGTGCTTGCATCCCCTCTCTTAGCTGTTGCCCTCGTCCCTTCTTCTTTGCCTGATTCTCCACTCTTGCTGACGGAGAGTGGCTCCTCCCTATATGTGGGATCCGTTTGCTCTTCGGTTTCATTAGTTCCTTCTAAGTCGATTAAAGCCCTGCGCTCCACTGCCTGATTCCCGTTCTCCGGACCCCCGTGTGCTCTTCTAACGGCTTGTCTCCCCGCTCCGCTACCTCCACGTGGATGGTGATTGCCACAGGGCCTGAGCTGTCGCCAATGCGTGCTGTCGCCGCATCGGGTGTGTTCGCCAAGCCCTAGTTGGAGCCGGGAAAGGAGACCATTGCGACAAAGCCTCCAGTGCCGCCGGCTCCGAAGCGCATGACAACAACCTCTGGAATGCCTCACTCCCCCGCACTCGCGGCTCCTGTTGCGTTTGTTGCTGCTCCTGCTGCTCCGGTTGCGGTTGTTGTTCCTCCAACTCTCCCCTCTGTGCCGCCGGCGTTAGCCCCTGCTACGACTGCCGTTGGTCCGCCGCCTGCCGTCTTTGCCGCTCCGCCTGTTGGCGTCGAGCAGGCGGTTGTTGCTGACGCCGAGGTGCTGCAACCAGTGGTGTCCACCACCACTGAGGCCCTGGGCCCATTGGCTGTCTCGGTCGCTCCAACTCCTCCAACTGCGGCGACACTAGTACCGCCCTCGTCCGTCCCAGAGGGACCTGAGTCTGCACCGCTTGCTGCTGCTCTGCCAGCTCAGCGCCCGCCGTCTCCGGGCAGCCGGCAGCATCGACCTCACTCCCCTGCACCATGTGACGAGCTGGAGCGGTCAAGGCGGCGCCATGACTCCCCTCGGCGCTGAGGTTCCCAGGTGAACTGGGTTGCATCCTGTGGCGGTCGCGGTGGCTGGTGGGGAGGGCATGGTCGTGGTGGCGGCTGGGTGTATGATCAGCCGGTGACGATGGCCGACTTGCAGCGCATTGTGTCTGCTGCCGTGCGTGAGGAGCGAAAGGGGCAGGCGAGCCATAGCAACTCGCCGTGCGTTGCTCCATCGCATGCGTCCCTTCATCCAGCTGCGCCCTACGCGCCTGCGCCTCCACTTCCCCAGTCAGCTGTTCCTCCTCCTCATGCTCCCTCTGCATCTGCTGCAACTCTTGGGAACCGTATGCACCTGCCGTGGGTTCCTCCTGTGGCGGGTATGGAGTTCGTGACCGCGGCAGGAGGACCAGTGACAGCGCAGTATCCATCTCTACTGCCCGTGGCTCCAGCTCATCCGGCTGCTGCACTACCTCAACAAACGCTGGTGGGGCCATCTCCTTCTGCCGTGGTGCCGGAGGCGTCTCTGGGGCAGTTGTGGTGCCTCTCTGAGGGTATGTGGGTTGTTCACCTGATTCAGGTGTATGGTCACGCGGCTCTCTCCCAGGGTGTTCCTCTAGACGGTGGCCCTTGGGACGAGTGCCTGGATGCCGCTGATCGGCTGGGCGAGCTCCTGGCGCCTGTGTTGGCTGCGCCCGCGCGGGGTGGAGTTGCGGGCGCTGGACAGCTTGGGACGTCAGTCCGTGGTCTGCGCCGATTTTGGCACGCAGGGATTGCAGTCGACTTGATCGACGCAACCACAGTGGTGGTGCGCGAGCTTCATCGCTCTCTGACGGGTCTTCTCGCCGTCCTTGATGCGGATCAGATGTAGGATCCGCTTGTGCTTGCCCCATTTTGTCGCTAGTAGATGGGACCCCCTGCCATGAGTGTATGCCTTGGTGTTATAAATTGGTGCTGCTTGTGACGTGCTTGCCGTCCCCTCACGCGCGGCCGAAGGCCGCGCTGTCGAGCGTCGGCCGCCTTCGGGGGCCGGGGCGAGCTGCTCGGTTAGGAGAAGCAAATGAAAAAGAACTGAAGATTGAGGATAGTGAGCAGCAAAACAGGACTATATACTAGGCTGGAGAGGGCTGGAGAGGCTAAGGACTAGCTCCTAGGGCCTTTCTCTCTCTCTCTCTCTCTCTCTCTCTCTCTCTCTCTCTCTCTCTCTCTCTCTCTCTCTTTCTCTCTCTCTCTCTCTCTCTCTCTCTCTCTCTCGCTCTATCTCTCTCTCTCTTTCTCTCCTCTTCCTCATTCCGTGTTTTTTTTTGGTTTTGTTTTTGCTTTTCTCAGCCCTTATTTCATAATTCATAACTAGCCAATGCTTCCTCCAGGGCTGCCTTCCTCAAGAGGGGGCTTGCTTTTGACTTGCCGTGCCATCCTTTCTCCCTCCTCTTGTTGTGTCTTTTTGTTTTGTTTTGTTTTTGTGTTTTTTGTTTTTCGCAATCTTCTTTTATTATTCCACACAAAGGCATACAAACCTAGGCCTACACCCTATCCAGCCCCTACGGCTGCGATTTTTTCTTGGCCCCATTGGCCTGAGCTACTCTCCAAGGCTCCTAACCAGCCTACGGACCACCGGTGCATCCACCTACGCCCCCCGGCATATTGGCAAGGGGTGCCGCCCCATGGGTCCTCTTACACCTCGGGTGCGGAGCCTTGTGCGCCACGCCCTCTCATAGGGCAGTTGTTTCCCATGTGGTCGGGTTGGCCGCAACAAAAGCACACGCCTTTGAAGCGGGGCTCGTGGCAGCCCGCGGGTGGCATGCCTTTGCTTTCCGGTTCGCCATCTCGAGGGGGAAGGCGGCCTCTGCGGACAAAGCCGGTGCGTGCACGCTTGAAGGCCGCCACGTCGGCTATCGCGAGCTTGTAAGAGCATGATGTGAGTACGCTCTTGGCTTGCTACAGCTGGAACCGATCCGCCACCTCAAACCTGGCCTCATCCGCCACCAAGAGCACCTCAAAACGTTTGTTGATTAACGTTTCAACTTGTGCCACGTTGGAGAGCGCGCCCTCGACGTCGCCGTGTTGGAGCTTGAACTCGATGTGCCTCATGTGCGCTTGAATTGCAGAGAATACCTCCGCCTGGTCGCGCACTCTTTTGCGCATGAAAGTAGTAGCTGCGTGTGTAGGGTTGAGGGAAGGAAGGGGGGGTGCGGGTGCAAGAATGCGACGGCAGGCAAGGTTGTCGAGAGCCTCACTATCGTCATTATCCGAGTTCTCATTGTCGTCAATTGCGGGAGCTTGAACTGGTGCAAGAGCCGGGGCGGGCGCAGGAGCGGCGGCGTTGGCGCGAGCAACCTTGGTGGAGTGAGAAGCTGCGACTGGTTCTTTCTGCTTTTCTGTTTTTACGGACGCAGAATTGTAGTCAGTCGATGTAGCAATTGTACCAGGCGCCTGCTGCTGCAATAGCGAGAGAAGCGCCTGCAGTTGCTGTGCAGTCAAAGAGGGGGGGGGGGGGGGTGCGTTGACTGGCGCGACGTCAGCAGAAGGTGCCGCGCGCTAGCGTTTTGAGGTCGTGGGCCCGGATTGACCCGCGTCAGCCATGGTCAAGACAGTTGCCGCGTCAGCGGCATCCGTCGTCTTCTGGAGCGCGCGTGCCTGCCTTCCAGGCGCACGCTCTTCAGTAGTCACGCGCTTGTGTCTTCTGACGCAGCGCGAAGGGTGCCTCCGAGCAGGAGGTCGACATCCGAGGGTCCTTCGGCGGAAACTTCTTCGGCAATCCGTTTGTCGCGACGATCGGTTGCCCTGGTGGGAGCTGAAGTTTCCGCCGCATTACCGAGGCTTGAAGTAGTAGCGTTGTCGTGGTTAAGCGTCAAGTTCGCCAGAGCCATCGCCGCTAAGTTGTGCTGGAGAATATCGTTAAGAAATGTCGTCGGGGCTGCGCGGGAGGGATTGTGTCTTCGCCAGAGTGACGAGAAAGAGAAATTAGAACTACAATTCCGGAAAAGAAAACGTGGGTGGGGACGAATGTCCCCACGTCCCTCTTTTGTAGGAAAAAGAGGGTGAGTAGTGCTTCGGCACTACCTTTGCTATGCTGGCCACGTATCCCTTTTCAAAATACAAAATTTTAGGAAGAGTTACATTTCATTAAACTTTAAAATTTTATCATTTCCCGAAACATTATTTTTGGGCTAAATTCTTTGTGACGTAGCGGATAAGACGAGCAGATACAAGGGGCGACGGCAGGAGAGATGCGCTAGGGGGAACCATGGAAGCTACACGGCGGTGTGGAGGGAATCATCGCAGAGGCGATCGGCTCACATGGCGAGAATGAGGAGACCGGTGAAGAGGGTGGAATCGCGCGGATCGTTTTCAATTGACTTTCGCTTGACAGGCGAAAAGGGACACAAAGATAGGACGGTTAGGGTGACAACATACTGGTTGTGAGAATAGTGGGCGAGTAATGATTGACTAGGAAAAGGGAAGGGGTACAAGTAGAATGTCGAGAGAAATCTGTACCCCCTAAGGCTAAACCCACTATAGCCTAGACAACTATAAACACATAAACTAAGCCTAGATATAACTAAGCATGTATGTTTGACATACCCCCATAGGCGAAGTGGGGGATAGCTAGAACAAGCAATGGTCACAAGACCAGTCAAGAGAAGAAGCAAAGAAAAGCAAGCTCAGGGTGGATCACAAAGTCACCACACAGTCCGAGCACAAGCAAAGGGCCACAAGGCCAGTTCACATTCAGAGTTATATAAAGAGAACAAACAATACAGTGATCATACCCTAACAAGTGCAAGCATGCAGGTATATAGATAGATCACAGTACAGGCAGAGTCAGGCAGTAAGTAAGTGAGGCAAAGTAGGCACAAGGCCTAACACAGTAACAAAGCGCTGATGGTGACCAGGCGGAAGTGCCTTGGTGAAGACATCAGCAGTGTTGGCCCGAGTGGCCACGTACGCTAGACGAAGCTGACCACACTGCTGCAACTCTCGAGCAAGGAAGTATCGCAGAGCAATGTGCTTCGTTCTGTGCTCCAGTCTGTGCTCATGACACAAGGCTATCATGACCTTATTGTCTACGTACAGGACTAGAGGCGAACGAGGCAGCTCTCCAAAGTCGGTTAGCAAGTAGGTGAGCCAGCGTAGCTCCTGAGCAGCCATGGCTCCGGCGTAGATCTCCGCCTCACAACTGGAGCTGAGAACTGAAGACGAACGAGTAGACCGCCAAGAAACCGAGCCGGACCCAAGGCTGAAGGTGTAACCCTGCGAAGACCGCTGCGTAGCTGAGTCGTCAACCCAGGAGGCGTCTGCGTGACCACTGAGGATAACAGGACCCCGTCCTCCAAGCACAAGCCTCATGCCCGACGTACTGCACAGGTAACGCAGTACCCTCTTCGCAGCATCCCAGTGCACCTTTCGGTGCCTACCGGGAGCCACGTAGCGAGCCAGAAGACTGAGAGGGTACGTGAGGTCAGGTCGTGTGCAATTCATCAGGTACATGAGGCAACCCACAAGCTCTGGGTACGGACCACTCGGCTCTACGGACTCGTCCGAAGGTGGAGCTGAGAGCGAGTGGCTGGTAGACAGAGGAGTGAGCTGTGGCGAGGAGAACTGGAAGCCGAAGCGCTGAAGGACCTGGTGCACCATGTGTGACTGAGTCAGTGTGATTGTGCGCCGTGCTCTGTCCCAGATGATCTGCAGGCCAAGATAGCTGCGCAGTTCACCCAGGTCCGTGCAGGTATGTCTCTTCTGCAGCTCGGACTTCACTAGGGTCAGTGCCTCAGTGTCAGCCGTGGCAAAGACGAGGTCGTCGACGTACACTAGGACGTAGAAGGGCGGCAGCGAAGTGTCGGTGCGTAGAAACAGCGACGGGTCTTCTGTAGAAGGAACAAACCCAAGAGCCGCAAGTGTAGTCCTGAGTGTATCGTGCCACTCGCGAGGCGCCTAGCGGAGACCGTAGACTGGCCGGCGGAGGCTCCACTCGGTACCTGTAGGAAACGACCCAGTGAAACCAGGTGGTCGGCGTAGCCAGATCTCCTCGTGCAGGCTGCCCTGCAGGAAGGCTGTACTGAAGTCCAGGGAGTGTAACTCGTAGTCACGCTGAGCAGCTACGTGCAGCAACACCCGAAGAGTAGTCATCTTCGGGGTGGGGAAGAAGGTCTGGAAGTAGTCAACCCCTTGTCGCTGACTGAAACCTCGAGCAACGTAACGCGCCTTGAAGGCAGGCGGAGAACCCGTCGGCCGCTTCACCCTGAAGATCCACATGCCGTCGAGTATGTTCGCCCCAGGTGGGGGAACCTCGTCGACGTAGGTGCCTGTGGACTTCCAGGATGCCATCTCGGCATCCATAGCTGCCTGCCACTGAGAGGAGTAAGGACCCGTAATCGCCTCTGCGTAAGAGCGCGGGGTCGGGATGTCTGGAGCATCCGGGTCTCCCTCAGGGGCAAGCAGCAAGGAAGCGAAACAAGGTACAGCAGCTGCAAGACACTCAAAGTCCTCCTGCCTGTCCTCAAGGACGTCCGTGCCAAGAGCACACTCATCCCCGACGGACGGAGGACTGGCAGGCACAGACTCAGCAACTAGAGCAGAGGCGTAGTCGAGACGGCAGGCAGCAGCAAAGTCAAGCAGCTCAGCAACGAGAGCAGAAGCAGCAGCAGACTCAAACGACGGGTCAGTGACAGTAGTGGCAAGGAGACGAGCGACAGTGGGAATGGCAGCACGCGCTCGGTCAGACTCAGGGTCAGGGACCTCAGGAAGAGAGGACTCAGGAGGAGCAGGCAGAGGAACACGCAGTGGAACAGAGGAAGGACGGAGTGCCATGGTGTGTGTGCCTGGGACAGGAGGAGGACGCGAACGAGGAGCGCGACGAGCAGTGCGAAC